TAACACCTAAAATACATCCCAGCTAGCACACATACGTTGTTAAAACATTAGAATAATGTCGCGCGTTTCGTTGCGCAACAACGGCTGCCAACGTTGTTTTTATACCACGTTTTTACAAATGCGACGTCGCCAACAACTAAAAACCAATGTTGATAAAACGTTTTAATAAAGTCGGAAAAAAGTTATATTTTTACGTTGATTCAACGTTTTATTTTATATGTCGGTCCAACGTTGTATTTACGTTGATTCAACGTTTAACTTTAATTGGCAAAACGTTGTATTCAATACTATTCGGAATTAAATTTTCATTACATTATATATATATATATATATATATATATATATATATATATATATATATATATATATATATATATATATATATATATATATATATATATATATATATATATATATATATATATATATATATATATATAATGTAATGAAATGTGTATGTATAGTGTATGTATTTATGTATGTATGTATTTAGTATGTATGTAACAGTGTATGTATTTATGTATGTATGTGTATTAACACAGCTGACTTTTTGTGATGTTTTTACATACATTGGACCAATGTAAATTTGCCAGATGTTTTTAGTTCCGTCGGTAATAATTTTATCATTAACCAAACGACATTGGATCAACGTTGGTATTGCATCGGAAAAAAGAGCCGATGTTCGCAATGGTTTTACATACGTTGGCCCAATGTAAGTGTGCTAGCTGGGATGCACAATAAAGAGATATCTTAAAGAATAATTAGTTATCCAGCACCTCTGGTAAGGCCGTTAAAAATATAACATTTCAGTAAGAAACCCATTTAACAACATAACAAATAAAACATATATATTTTGACAATACAATAAATTATTTTAAAATGCTCTTATAAAATGCAATATTTACAGTAAGCATATACTTGAATAGATTTTGAAGGACATTGGCTTTATCATTTGAAATTTGAACACCCTTATTCAAGGCAGAAAACTTAAGTACCTCTAGACAGAGAGAAAGATTTTTTTTTTGAAGAGCAGGAATTGCTTTGATTAAACCAAGGGGACTAAATATTTCAACAGAAACGAGTGCTCTATTTGACTGTGGATGTCATCAACTTCTTATATACTAGAATTCCCTGGTCTTAAACTTTTGTTAATTTACTCTGATTTTTGGGTAACATATCACAAACCAAAAATTAAAAAATATACGTGTTCATTTTTCATCACTGATATTTTATGTGTATTTAGATTTAAAAGAAATTAACAGTATATATATATATATATATATATATATATATATATATATATATATATATATATATATATATATATATATATATATATATATATATATATATATATATATATATATATATATATATATATATATATATATATATATATATATATATATATATGTTTACAGGGCCGGTTAAAAGAATTTTTTTGGTATGTGCGAGATCACGGTTTAGCGCCCCCTATTATAAAAAAGTTCATCCGTTAAAAATATTAAAAAAATATTTTGAGAGTTTATATTTTTATATGTTTTTAAATAAAAATAAAATAAGCGTTACTAACATAACTGTTTCTTAAAAATTGTTAATTTAGAAAAACTCCTTTCTTCGCTGGCCACTGATACCAGGAACAAAAGCAAAATTTTCAATACTAAGCACACATTAGTAATGATATTAATCAAACGGCTTTGAAAATGTTGACAATGACAATTTTGTTTTAGGGAAGCTATCGTTCTATCCATTGTTCGGCAACATTGGAGCTAAGATTATAATTTCACCTAATAGTTCATTCCTGTTGACGTCACTCTTGCTATCAACCTGCAAAACGAAGCGCAAGTTTTTGCACTTTTCTTTAACTGCATCTATTTCACATTTCTTGTTTTTTGTGTTATAGAGGAATTCAAAATGTTTTCTGCGATTTTCCATCTGTTCAAATCTTTCATTAATTGCAGTGTCCAAAACTACAAAATAAAAATTTTTAAAAATTGTCGACTTTACAGATTCATTGCCATAGTAAAATTGATTTTTGATCTTTCTTGGCTTGACCACAACTTCACCAGAGAACTTTAGATCAATGCAGAGGAATCCCGTAGAGGAGAGTAGGAGGTCGACTAGCCCCCCTACAAAATTTATTGATCAGCGTATTAAACACTGGATGTGAAAAAATTGGATCTATAGTTGGCAGTTAACAAATTTTACTTTAAGATCTTTTCGAGGCGGCCTTAGATTGATATCCAGTTTTTCAACCAGTTCCATGGCATCTATAATAACACTATAAAGCCCATTTTCCATCTCATATTTTCCAAAAAAGTCCTGTCGTTTTCAATTAGTTTCAAAGCACTCTGCAGATTAACAGTTTTCATCTTAAATTTTTTGCTTACTAAATTATATTTGAACGACACATTATACTGAGAGCAGAAGATTTTGAAATCTGTAATTCTTTTTGCAACTACCATAGCGGTACATTTTCTAAAATCCTAAATAGCGTCATAAACCTCACCAATGTGAGGTTTGTTATTGTGGTACCGCAAAGAATTAAGGGTGTCTATCCTGTTCTCTCAAATGTATTCCATTTAAGGGTCAATACAGATAAAAAGTTATAAATCTCCTAAATATTACTGAAAAATTTAACAGCCAGAGCACAGGCAAATGCTGCATCATTGACTACAAGTTTTAGTAAATGGCTTTCACATTAAACAAAAAAAGCTCGTGGGTCAAGGTCAAGGAATCTTTTTTGTACGCCTACGTTATTTCCCTTTATGTTTAATCTATTATAAAACTTTTGCCATTCATACTTTGTAAGGATGTTTTTAAAACCTCGTCTAACAAGCAAGTTGTCAACCCTTGCCTAGATATTTCTGAGACATGAACAAATCAAAGAAAATATCTCCTCACCTTTACTTCTTCTTCTGCAACTGCATACACAAACCAAACTACATGCATCTTTTGTTCTTTACAAATTACGTCAGGAGTTCAGTCAAGATTTATAGAATAACACAAAACTTTCTGCAGTTTACAAGAGATAAATTCAATAACTTTACAGGAAAGATGACCAATAAACTCATTTTGAATTTTTTGGTTAAAGAATGTACATGATTTTTTTAAACAGTTACCCAACGAAGATGATTAATAAGAACAGTGTCAAGTTCTGAAATGGGTTCAAAAGGTTTTAAAAAGTTTCTATTGTTTTCTTTGAAAACTGTTTCACTTGTTCCGCGATAAGCTAATTCTTGAGTTCCAAAGAACTACACAATAAAAGCGCTTTTGTACAGAAAATGATACAGCCTTTAACTACTTCATCGAGAATGTCTTTTAAATCTTAGGAATGTGAATTTTCTCCCGACGTATTTTGCACTTAGAGTATAAGTTGTTTTATTTTTTGTTTGTTATGATTTTAATTATGGTTAAAGGTATACCCAACACCAAACATCAAGAAAATAATATTATAAAAATAGAAAATAATGGTTATTAAGGCTTAAACAAAGGGTAACCTATTATCTTTTTAACTTATTATTATTAACAAAGTCAATTGTAATAAATTCACTCTTATAACGTATTTTATTTGTAATTGATGCTGATTATCGTTTGGATCTTGTTTTTCCAGTCTATACAAAAGTTTAATGAATGTATTTGTTTGTTTTGTTATCCTCTCTCTCCATATCTGATTTGCTTTTTTTTTTTAAAAAAACTCCAAAGGTTTTTTTTTTCGCTATGATGACTCAAAAACTTATTCTTTCAAATAATTAACCAACTACTACTTTTTGCTGTAATTACTTTTTTCATTGAAGTGCAGAAGGAAATACATTCAAAATCAATAGTTTAAAATAAAAACTTGGGCGCCCCTTAATGTGAGTTTACATTTAACATGATATAAATAAACAATTAACTCACAAGCTTATTCTTTTAAAAAAATAATTAACTGCTATCCTTAATCTATTTATTTTTTCATTGAAGTGTTGAGAAAAAATGAAAAAAATCATTAGTCTAGCGTATAAAGTTTGGGGCTACCCTCCAATTTGACACGTACCTTTTTTAAGGTGGTACTTGGGTGAAAAACCCAAATGCTTTATTTCTTACTATTTAAATTTGGTATTTTATACAGGTAACTATGCCTTTTCTTTTTTTTTTAATTACAGAAAACCCTTTTTTGGGTCCAAAGGTATCAAAATGGTTTTGGTGCCTTATGAATGTTTTTAGTATGAATGTTTTTAGTAAATTGAGCTATGCAGAAAACGCCTACCAAAATGGTAGGCGTTTTCTGCATAGCTCAATTTACTAAAAACATTCACTTTGAAATTTTCAATTTTTTTTATTTTTTTACCAAGTATAACAAGTATAACAAAAACATTTAAACAAAAAAATTTCAAAAACCGGGCATTTAGATTTGAACATAAAACCAAATAAAATTATATGAAGTATGTTCTTTGTTGATCTGAATTTTAATTATTAGTATCCTAGAGATCTTTTTTTAAAAGAAGTATAAAAGGTCAGGGCCGCCGAGAGCTGTCACGCCGCCTCGGACAGAAATCCTAATTGGCGCCCTTATTTATCAAATTTTCCCTATTTTATATATGAAAGATCTTTTTTTTTTTTTTTCAAGGTACCCCCCTCTCGGCGGCCCTGTAGAAAGTTTTCTTCATTTATAAACAGTTTTTAACATAATTGTAAACTAACAATGATTTTTAACTGGGTACTGAATTTGTATTTATACTGCCTAAAAAGTCAAGAATTGGAAAAATGAAAAATTTAAAGCGATGTTGGAATAAAAAAAGAAACTTGCGTATAAAATTTGGATTTGAGATAAAAAATATTGATTTGATTTCCTGTTATATAGTTATATTTTGTCTTGTGACTGATTACATGTCACTTGGATATCGCGTGACAATGTGTGGGCACACTTGTTATTGTAGAAAATAGCTACCTTTATTCAAGTTTGATTTTAGTAAAAATAAACTCTATTTGTAAATAAAGTAAAAATAAAATGCGCGAACAAACAATGTTTAACGCAGTTATAAATTTTTTCAAGATGATGTTATTAAGTTTTCAGCTTGCTTTGTGCATAAGTCTCCTTGGATTGTGTTCTGGTCATAGATATTTAAAGTTTGAACGCAAATCTTCAACACCTCAAAAGCCGGAATGGCCGAGTCGCTATCGAGTGGATGGTATTTTGAGTTTACCATACGCTGAACTTAACGAGCCTTTCGTTGGTTGGTTTGATGCTGAAGCAAAAAAAAGTCGAATTGATTATTATGAAGGTAAGTAATTGACAATAGTTAATAAATAGATAAATTAAGCTTAATTAAGTAAAATATTTATTATTTTTTTGCGCCGATCGAAACTTTTGACCAACAAGTACGTAACATAAAGTAAATTAAAATTAAAAAAACCAAGTAGTACGTTGCGTAAGGTTTTAAATTAATTAAAATTGACTTAAGTATTATATATCATAGGAAAGATAATTAATACAGTACTTTATACATGAAAAACTTATTCAAATTAAACAATTCTACAAAAAGTTATGACGTTTTAACTTTTTGTAGAATTGTAAAGAAAATAAATTGAAATAATAAAAATTCATTCTAAGTTACAAATATTTGATAAATAGATTTGTTAAATTAACTGATCAAAATTTAAATTTTCTTTACTTAAATTATTTAAATGCCTGTCTGCAAAGGGATTGTCCTAAATTACGTAACCCAAACTTTCACAACAATCAAAACGAAAAAAAAAGTAAAAAGTTTTCCCTCGCAGAGTTCTGGTTTAAAAAAAAAATTAAAATAGCCAGTGAAATAAAAGGCGGCGTAAAAGAACTTTTTATCTCCTGCTTCTGATTTTTAAAAATATTTTGCGTTGCGTAATTTATGGACAATCCCACTTTCCGACCATCAGCCGTAAAAGAGGGCTAGAGAGGCCATTGAATCTTATTACCATCTAAATATGCACAATTTCCCATAAACTATATTTATTTTTTCAATTGCAAATTTATATTTATTTTAATTCCTAACCAAATATCAGAAGTGTATCTAAGAGTTAAGAAGGTGGGGATGTGATAATTCAACGCATCCTAGTATCAAAAAATGTTTTATTTTTATAAATACATTGTTTATTAAAATAAATGAAATTATTATGAAAGATAAAAATCATTTTTTACTATTTTACAATAAGTATTAAAAGGCGCACATTGATAGGGATGGGGACTTCCCCCTCTGCGTCCCTTAATGAAAATTTGAAATGAATAAAATTAATAACAAAAGTGGTATCAATATATGATAACTCTGATACCAATGATGCTCTGATACCAATGCCTAATCAAGGAGCCAGAAGCAGAGCTGCAACACAATTTTTACTGCATAAAGATGCATTTTACTTTACCCTAATATCAAAATGTTTCAATAATAATAAAAATTTCTTTTGTTATTAAATTAGAGATATTGGTATAAAAACATGTTTTACTAAATTACAAGATGTACAAGTGTTTTATCAATTGTTGTTGGAAAAGGGGTGTTCCCCCTCTCCAGTCATAAAGTTCAATAGAACTAATGTTTTAAAATTAAAATTGTAATTAATTTGTGATTTAAAAGATATATGACAAAAAGTTACATAAAGTATCTTCCTTTGGTATTACTGTACATATCTACTCCATCCCATAAATTTAGTGTTGCTATTACATTTGGCGCGTATCAAATTTTTTTTTGTTAGTATTATTGGGTTAAATTTTATAATTAAACTGATTTTGATTTGTTTATATTTAATAAATTGACTTTATTTAGGCATTAACATGTTCTATAGAAAATAAGTCACAGGTTTTTCTTCTCTACGGCAAGAATATTGAATTAGTCACTATTTTTGTTTTTAGTTATTTTATTCAGTATTTTGCAATTTCAAAATTTGCATAAATATACCAATCCTAGAAACTGAAATTTCAAATATTTAAAATAGTGCTTTGTCTCTATGTAATCCAACAAACAAATGTTAGTTTCAATAATTCTTCATGATTTTAAGAACAAACTAATTAGCCTTTATCACTAACTTTATCATGAAAGTGTTTATTACAGAATTAATATAAATGCTGTTCTATACCAAGTATTGCCAATTAGATCATTAATTGTATATAAATATATTATTTTTTATATAACATATATTCTTTTTTTTTTTTTTTTTTTTTTCGAAGAGGTACAGTTGTTCATATTTGCATTGTGCCTGAGCCATTAGTTAAACAATACCTGCCCAAGTCATCAGCTATTGCATGTACTGAAGCCCTTGCAGATACCTATTTCAGTCTAATGACATCTATGTAATAAAGTAAATTACCTAAATAAATTATCAGAAAGGAATTAACTATTCAAATGTATTTAATTAAGTTACACTTTAAATTCTAATGATTCTTATGTTTATATTTTGTGTAATAAATTTGTATATTATATATTAAATTTATATTGTTATATTATATATATATAGTAGTTTAATATTTTTTAGGCATTTCAAAAACTATTCAACGTGGAGATAAAGGTGAATTTGGAGCACATTTCTTAGTTGCTCCAATGTCAAATGAAGTTCAGCTAAATCAAATAAACTGTTTTGAACTTAGTGGCACAAGTGAAGAGCCAGCTTTACCACAATCACTATTACCTGACATGGAAAATTTTACTGTTAGTATTTGCTGATTTTTTTGTTAATATAAGAAAGCATTTATAATTTTTATTAATATTAGTTGTCATTTAACATTCTTTTGTGCTGACTTATTATTAGGTAATAAAAATAAATATGCATAAAATTGAAGGTTAAAATTATAAAAAGTTGTAGAAGCACTTAGGTTTAATTTGTTGCTTTTACATAAATCATATATTTATAACATATATTTGTTACCTTAACAAACGGCTACCAAAGTAATTAACACTATTCTTGTTTAATTGTTGTTGCAAGCTTCTCTCAACTCTTTAAGTTCAAAATATAGTCTTGCAAACAAGGCTGCTGTGTAAAGTAGCAAGTTAGATACAATGTTGCCAGGAATACAGTAGAAATTGAGCTTAGTGTATGTTTCTAGATGATTGCAAATATTCTTTTTATTAAATTGAATCATTGTATTTCATTTTTTTATATATATATTGTTTTATAATTATAACAATCTGTTTTATAGTATACTGGTGAAAAAGCTTTTATGGATTTTAAAGTGGACATATGGCAGTATAAATATGGCGATGACAACAAGTACAATGTTTATACACTTTATGTAAAGAAAGATTCAAGCATACCTGTTTATTATGAAATGATTGGTTATGATTCTTTGCTTGGATCTCATTATGATGAATATAAAATCAGATATTTTAATTTGAATACAGATTACCTGGATGATGTTTTTGATGAGCCAACGAAAGGTTTTTCATTCAAATAGATTTTGTCATATTTTTAATAAATTTTAAATATAATTTTTGTATTTTCTAGTTTACTTGTAAATGTTTTTTTTATTTTATTATGCTTCTCACAGCTAAATAATATTTTTTCAAGGGTAGTAAAAAAGGATAATGTCAAATCTAAATTATAATAAATAAATTATCAAGTTTATAAAAAAATGTTTCATATATAAGATAAAAAGATTTTGTGTCATTAAAATTATTTACTGAAAAGTTTGAAACAAAACTTTTGGAGATAATTTTATTTAATGCTTTAAAAATATATATTTTTTTTCATCCAATTTCAATCCATTAAGAATAAGCAGTATTAAGTTGCTTATGTTGTAAATTTGATAAAACATAAAAATTAATTGTTATATCAATAAGGTAATAATAAATAATACTGTAATAAATATGTTTTATCATTTAATTGCATCATTGTGATTATTGATGACATATCTGCTACATTCATCTCTCATTGACATATAAATGTTTGATATCTTTTTATTCTATCATGATTTATTTATCATTTTTATTCTGATCTTATAGGCATGGAGTGTCATGGTTTTCCTGGACCTGGTTATGAAGCTCAAGTAGTATCCAATCCAATGAGAGAATTCATATTCCCTGAAGATCAATCCCATCTCCCTTCTATGTATAAAGAGTTTATTAAGAAATATGAAAAAGAACATGAAGAGTCAAGAAAACATACATTTAAACATAACCTCAGGTAAATTCAAATTTATATACATATATTATTATTATTATTTTTGCATGTTTGTATATATTTTGTATTGTATATTGTGAATTTATGTTCCATATGTGTGTGTGTTTGTGTTGTGTGTGTGGGTTTTATGTATTATTTAGATGTTATGTTACTCCAATATGAACTAAAATACCTGAAGTTAAAGTTTTAGACAAATTTTATTCTAGATGTTTTTCTATAGCATAGATATAGTAAGATAGATATGTAAATGTAGATATATAGATAGTAAGATAGATATGTAAATGTAGATATATAGATAGTAAGATAGATATATAAATGTAGATATATAGATTGTAAGATAGATATGTAAATGTAGATATATAGATAGTAAGATATAGATAGTAAGATAGATATGTAAAAATTTATTGAACAATATAGTAATTAAAGTAGCTTTTTTAATGAAAAAATGTGTTAAAGTCCCTTTAAAACACATTTTAAAGGGACTTTAACACATTTTTTTTTATGAAAAATTGTGTTAAAGTCCCTTTAAAACACAGTTAAAACACCTACATCCATGTTATGCATTTTGTTTTAAGTGAATCGACGTGAATTGTATGCTTTATCTACTGTGAAAAGGGTATTTTATCACATTTTTCTGCAGTATTATTAAGTACATATGAAAAAGCTTTATTTAAAACTTTTGTGTAAAAAGTGGAAATTTGTATTTTTGCAGCATAGCGCTTTTTATCCATTTATGTTTTCATGTATATTAAATCAATTTATAGGTATATAAATTCAATGAATCGCAAAAAGCTAACTTTTAAGCTAAAAGTTAATCATCTTGCAGACCATTCTCCTGATGAATTAAGAAAATTACGTGGAAGACGCACTTCAAAGAAATCTGAAAAAAACGTTTCAAATGCTAAACCTTTTATAAAAACTATGAAAGTTTCAGATCTTCCAACTGATATTAATTGGAGATTATTCGGTATGTTTTTTGATTGTTTAAAAGCTTGTTTAAAGTTGTAAAATTCATTGTTATTACTTTTAATTGGTATTATTATAAAATTGTTAAGCAGAAATTTTTTTGAAAAACTTTTCCAGATGAAACTGTTTATAAAAGCCATTTTAACTTTTATAATATCACCTAATTGAATTAAAACTGAATATACATAGCTATATTAAAAAAATAAATACAATAAAAATGCAGTAATTTGCTTGTTATCTATAGGTACAAAACGTTTCTTTGTATCAAAAAAAGTTATTATTGTTCTTGACATAATACTTGCCTGTGAATCCATATCATGTTTCTGATCCATTTATTTAATATTTAACATCATTATTTACAAGTTTGATGTTCAAAACTTTGTGTCTGGTTTGGATAAGCATTAGTTTTAAGAGTTAAATCAACAATATGTTGGATCTGTTTGATTGTTAAATGGAATGTAAGTGGTGAAATTTAAAAAAAAAAAGTTAATTAGTTTATCTTAGTCCTTAGCATTTAAGTCTTGAATTTTTTTTATTTTAAAGTTTTCTTTTGAAAGTTGATTTCTTAATTGAAGAATAATATCTGTAACTTAAACATGCTTGATTGAGGTCAGTCCTCATCAGTCCTCATCAATAAAAAACATTTTCAGGATAAGCAAAGTAACTAATCCATTAAATGGAAAGTTTAACAATATAAACAATAAAATTAAATGTTTTAACAAGTGTAAGGCCAGAAACACATGCTTTGGTCCATTAGAGCAAAGGGGTTCAAACTTAATAGCAAACCAACTTGGTCTGTGGTAAATGACGACGAGTTAAGTTATAAAATTTAGGCTTTTGTGCAGTTTAACTGTGGATACATAAAATATGCAGACTGGTATAGTGAGATTAAACCACCTACTTTGATATACTTTTAATATAGGTTTCATTCTGGCAAGATCTTTGATTACATTCCCTACTCTTAAGGTAAGGTAAGAGTAAAAGTTTTCTAGAGTTTAATTTCTCAACCAGCGTTACAGGCAGTTATAAATACACTTAATAGTTAGTGCTAGAGTTAGTGGTTTGACTTGAAATCCAAGGGTCTTTAGTTTGAATATGCCCGCAATCATTAATGAATTAGGGTTTCAATTATAATTCACCTCATTAAAATGCTTTTTTGCTGTTTAATCACTGTGCTCAGTGATTAAACTTTTAAAACCTTTGTAAAGTACCCTTAATACTAATTTCCTTTTCCTACTACAAAAAACAAAAGTTAGTAAAAATGTTATTAGGTAAAAGTTGATGATTCAGTGTTCTATTTAAACCAGTTGCAGGTCCTTACAGAATTTTGGGGTAGAAGTTAATTATTTTTAAAAAAATAATTAATCTCTCAACTTGTTTTAACCAGTACATTTGAGCTTGACCAGTATTTTTTAGATTGACCAGTACTTTTTAGTTTGACCATTACATATAACTAGTTTGACCAATTACATTTTAGTACTTTTCCTAAACAGAAATTAAAGTTATTATTTTATAAATATTATTGAGTTTGAATTTATTTTTTCTCATAATTAAAATAAACAGGTGCTGTCACCCCTGTTAAAGATCAAGCTGTCTGTGGATCTTGTTGGAGTTTTGGAACTACTGGTGCTATTGAGGGAGCTCTTTTTTTGAAGGTAAGTAATATTGCTTATGTAAAAAGTGTGCAAAACTTAATTAAATCATTGTACAAAAATTTAAATTATTTTATTGTGTTTTAGACTGGTCGTTTAGTTCGTCTTTCTGAACAAAATTTGATGGATTGCTCTTGGGGTTTTGGTAATAATGGTTGTGATGGTGGTGAAGAATTTCGTGCTTATGAATATATCATGAAACATGGAGGTATTGCTACTGATGACAGTTATGGAAATTACTTAGGAATTGTAAGATTTTTTTTTCAAATTTTAAAATATATTTAAAATAATGACTTGCCTAAAAAACTTTTTAAACTTATTATTAAGTTTTAATTAAACTGAGTTTAATTTTAAAAAGTTTTAATTAAAATTTTTAAGGTTAGTATTTATGGTGTGGTATATTTTACAATTTTTATATATTTTTTATGATTTTTATTTTAATATTTTTATTTTACGGATTTTTTAAGGATGGATATTGCCATCAAAAATCTTCAGTTATTGGAGCTAAAATTGCTAGTTATGTTAATGTGACATCAGGTGATATGGATGCCCTAAAAATGGCAATCGTCCAACATGGGCCAATTGCAGTAGGAATTGATGCTGCCCATTTAGCTTTTGTATTTTACTCTCATGGTGTTTATTATAACCCAGAATGTGGTAAGTGATAAATATTTATAGAAAAAAAATCATTACTACAAATCTACCTGTACTGCTAAACTAATTATCAAAGTTAATTAACTTTTTATTATTTTTTTTAATGATAATTTAGGTTACACCAAAAAAAAGGTGATAAATATAAATGACATAATATAAATTTTAGGATAAACTCCCTACTTTTTATTCTGTCACTCAGTAAAATTAGGTCAAGTTTCGCTAATCTTGATTTGTATTTAAATTTTTTGCATGCGCTTTCTTGGTAAATGGTTATGTAACTCTTTCTGTTATCAGCTAATGACAGTACAGCTCTAGAACTCAATTTAAAAATTTTAAAGCTGGCTGGTAATAAGGTTTCTTAAATTTTATAGTAACTCTCGTAAAAGCTGGCTACATCAACAGCTGCAAAAAATTAGAGCAGCTATAACAGTGTTAATCAACTAAAACAGCATAATTATATCTTCCATCTTCCAGCTTCTGAAAGATTTTTGTCTGAGAGACAAATTAATAAACAAGTTGCATAAGTTCTACTTTATGTAAAGGAAAACATTGTACACAGGAGTAATAATGATATATAATTGCACTTATATATACTTGCTTAATTATAGATCTTCCAGATTTTAAAAGAGTTTTGTTCTAGTGTCAAATTAATAAACAAGTTGGAGAAGTTTAAAGGAAAACATTGTACATAATAATAATAATAATAAATAAAGAGTAAGTTCTTGAGTCAAGAACTTACTCTTTGACAATCAATATTTATTTAAATTAACTTATTCTATTGCTGATTTGTTAACTGTTACTGCAATGGTTCTATTTATAATATCAAAATTATCTTTGATGGATAATACACTTCATTTCCAGTAACTTCTGGGGTACCACAAGATTCCACCCTTGGTCCTCTGTTCTTCCATCTATGGTAATGTTCTTAATAATAACTTTCTATAGTGGCTCTATTTGCTGATGACACAACTAAATACTGCTCTCTTGACAAAAAGTAATTAATTATTGATAGCTAGGAACAGACAGTCCGTTTTGAATCTGATCTCTTTACTGTGACAAACTGGGGAATGATTGTCAAATTATAATCCAAATAAACTCTGCTGTTGATATTTCTATATTTATAAATGGCAACACTTTTGACTTCTTCTTGGATTATCATTCAATGGTTTTTAAGGCTCAATCTAGTAATATAAAAGAGTGAAACAGATTTTAACATTTAATTTTTTTAAACCATGCTTTCAAAGAGGTTGACATGAGATAGAAACCATTAAAAAAGAAAATTAAAAACTGCATTTGAATATATATTTTTGACCTTTTTTCTAAAACTTTTAAACATTTTTTAAGGTGCAGTTTTGCAGTTTTTAATTTTCTTTTTTAATGGTTTCTATCTCATGTCAACCTCTTTGAAAGCATGGTTTAAAAAAATTAAATGTTAAAATCTGTTTCACTCTTTTATATTACTAGCTTGAGCCTTAAAAACCATTGAATGATAATCCAAGAAGAAGTCAAAAGTGTTGCCATTTATAAATATTGAAATATCAACAGCAGAGTTTATTTGGATTATAATTTGACAATCATTCCCCAGTTTGTCACAGTAAAGAGATCAGATTCAAAACGGACTGTCTGTTCCTAGCTATCAATAATTAATTACTTTTTGTAAGGTTTTATGTTTTGTGTAAAACCCACAGTATTATTTTGTTAAAGGCTTTGCACATTTTCGCTAAGATTTTATAAGATCAAATTTTTTGAATACCAAAATATATTTTGATAAAAATAGAAATTTATATATATATATATATATATATATATATATATATATATATATATATATATATATATATATATATATATATATATATATATATATATATATATATATACAGTGCTCAAGTGACACGGGATGCTATAATATATTAATAAGTATCAGTATCAACTATCCCGCCATATATTATATATTTATAAATCTCCTTATATAACAATTATTAATTTTTTTTTATTTTTTAAATATAAATAAAGAATTTTTATTAATACATATTATAGAGTTAAATTTTTAACTAAGTAGGTGTGATCACAAGTTTAATAAATTATTCTTTCATATTTTTATACTAAATAAAACTTTTTCCAGATTTTTAGTTATCACGTCTTATAAATACATATATATATATATATATATATGTATATATATATATATATATATATATATATATATATATATATATATATATATATATATATATATATATATATGTATATATATATATATATTTATATATATATATATATATATATATATATATATATATATATATATATACATATATATATTGAGCATGTATATAGAATAAGCAAAAAATCTGTGAATATGTTTTATTCCTGCTCTCTGCTGGTATGTGCATAGTTTAGTGTATATATTAATTATTTTTTTTTATCTTATTGAAGCTTAAATTTAAAGTTTATAATTTAAAATATATATATATTTATAAGTTTTTATAAAGTTAAAGTAAAAATAATTGCTATTGACTAATAATTTTTTCTAAATAGGAAACAAACCTGAAAACTTAGATCATGCAGTTCTTGCCGTTGGCTATGGTGTACAGAATGGTGAGCCGTATACTCTTGTTAAAAATTCTTGGTCAACACATTGGGGTAACGATGGATACGTACTGATGTCACAACGTGATAACAACTGTGGTGTTGCTACAGATGCAACATTTGTTAACTTGGCATAAAGAAACATGATTTATCTTGATACACTTTTATATATATATTGATATAGTTTTATATGTAGATTTTATTTTTATATAGATTTTTACTCAAACACTCTGTTATGATAAAAGGAGTTTTTAATATTCAGATATGTTTTTATGTAATAAAGTTATTATTTTAAAATTTTTGTTTAATATTATTTTTTTTTATATTATAGTTTTTAAATACCTTTTTTTGAAACAACAAAATGTAAAAATGCTGCAAGTCAAAACAGTCAAAAAAATTCCTTTGGAAATATATATATATATATATATATATATATATATATATATATATATATATATATATATATATATATATATATATATATATATATATTTTAATAAATCATGTAAAAGATTTCGCTTCGCCCTCTTTCCTACTTCTACTTTACGAGTACAAAATATATGACGCCAAAATATTTTATGATAAAATTTGAAATCTATTAAAAAAATAGGTTTAAGGCTGTCTTTGCCTAGGCTTCTTTTGCCATCACTTTTTTATTTTTAGGGTCACTATATAAAAAGTAAATTGCTTTTGATAAATTAAAATGTTTTTTTTTTTTAAATGTTTAATAATGACATCATTAAGGTACTCCTGTACAATTAAACAACTTTTTCTTAAAATACATTAATTACAAATATAGTTAACATAAATTAAAAATACAGGTCGAATGAAGACAAAACAAAATTATTATTTTTTTTCAATCCTAATGAAAAAGTGTGTTTTGGTCTCAAAAAAGGGTTAAAACGATTATTTATCATAGGATTGTAAAACTTTGAAATTTCCATAGTTTTTTAACAATCTAAACTACAATCTATGCCAATTTCACGTTCAAACTATCAAAACTTGCAAAAATATAGTCATTTTCATAAGAATTAGTAATTTTCACAGTTTTTCTCGCCTATTCAAAATTTCATAAGTACAAATCTAAACAAGCGAGATTCTTCACTAAGGATCATTTTGTAGCTATAATAGTAACGAACATTTGTGGAAAAATTCAAGAAGTTTTGTAAAGTATTAGTGAAGATATTATGTAAACGGCATAACCAACGACAAAAAACATGTTCTGTAAAATGACAAAAAACATGTTCTGTAAAATGACAAAAAACATGTTCTGTAAAATGACAAAAAACATGTTCTGTAGAAAAACAGTTTTAAAAATCAGAAAACTTTTATTAACATAAAACAAAACAGAACTAACTCAATGCGATCCAGAACTGTATGGTTGGCATTCTTTAATGTCTATTTTATTTTAAACTCTTTTCTTAGTCTTTTTCACTTTTCTTTTTTTTTTTTTTTTTAATTTTTTATAAAAAGCATAAAGTTTGATAAAAAAAACGCACTCATAGGACATTGAAGAGGATAAACGGGTCTCCACAATCATTTGAATGTCAAGAAAATGATCAATGTAGCCCAAGATGTCCGGCTTGCGAAAGTTTCTGAGAGTTGAGTAAGAAAAAATATTCTTCAGCAGTCTTAAAATAATCCCAATACGAAGGGTTCTTTAACACTCAGCATGTCCTCTGAAAGTGATCAAAGTCTTTATGATAATGGCAATGATCAAGATTTTGAGATCTGTAAATCTCTCAGAAAAAAGACTAATAATAGTCTTTTTTCTGAGAGATTTACAGATCTCAAAATCTTGAGAGAATAGCAGGAAAATATATCAGGATGCAGCTATAATCAGACCCAACTTTCAATCAAAGTTAAAAAAACAGGGAAATCAATCATTGTGCACTTTGATGGAAAAATCATTCGTGACTTTACAGGGACTATAGATAAAACAAAGGACAGACTTTGTCTTCTAGTCAACCTTGATGGTGAAAACCATCTGCTAGGAGTTCTAGGTCTAGATCATAAAACAGGGTAAGCCCAGTTTGAAGCTATATAAGATTTTCTAAATTTTTATGATCTTCTCAATTATGTACTTGGAATTTGTTTCGATATAAAAGCTACAAAATCTGGAAGTTTAAACAGTGCATCTATTAGATTAGGAAAGTCTTATGACAGACCATATTTCTTATTTGCTTGCAGATTAATATTATGCCCACGTTTGATTACAATAAAAATCGCAAAACTTGTTTGGAAAACATGGAGGATACTACAAACATTTAGATATTCATGTTTATGTCAAATAAAGGTAGTTTTCAAAAATTGGAACATGAGAACAAAAAAAGCTAAACTTTGGTTCTTCCTGCCTTTAACAAGAGAGCAACAAATTAACAACATATTTTTTTACTAGTATTAACTAAATATAAATTCATTGACAAATTTCAAACTTCGTGCAACTATCTCTTAGTGTTTTAAAACTAAAACCATATTAAGTTTGAATTCTCCTCAATTTGAGGGAGTATTAAACTTTAGTTGGTCATAAAAACCGAACACTTAAAGATTCTCATAAAATTTGAAAATTGGTTATGAATTTATAATAAATAAATATTTTGTAAACCTGTTGCTCTTACATTAAGGGCAGCCCCCCCCCCTCTGTTTTTAATGAGTTTTAGGCTCTTTTGCTCCAGGGCTATCATTATTGCAATTTTTTAAAAATTATCCTTATTTAACATAAACTTGAACATATAAATACTTGCAGTATCTCAAACACTAAAAAACTGTGTCTACGCCCCTCCACTTTAAAATATTTAAATATTTAAAATAAAATATAATATCTCTAAACTGCAACAAACCGCAGTATGCAAGCAATGTATACTAATCTAACCTTTAAAAAGCATTATAAACCAGGTTTTAAATTGGAACCTATTGAACACCTCCCGCCAAAGTGCCAAAAAGGGCATATATTTCCTAAAAATTTAAGAAAAATAATAAATTACCACGTTGGTGCAATCACTTCCCACTACTTAAATAAAAAAAAAGTTAAAAAAAGTAACAATTTTCTCGCGTAGCCACTAGAACCTAAAAGTATTTAAACAATTTTTTTTGGCCTAGCCTACTGTCCGTTAAGCCACTACCAAAATAAGTTCTATAATCAAATCGCAAACTTTATATATTTTATGCATGATAACTTGACGTTTAAAAACGGCACATAAATATTACCATTCACCCCTATTTATCTGTCAATGACATTTTCTAATGAAAAAACAAATAAAGAAATTACATTTACGAAAATTGATATAAATACGCGTAATGGGCGAAGTGTTATTGGCAGACAACAGTTTCCCATTACAGCTTTTAATGTTTTACCTGTAAGAGAAAGATAGTAAGGGTGATTAAAGAGTCTTTTGCATCCCCAACAGGCACAAAACGTTGTATTGACATTGTATTTACGTTAGAACAATTTATAGATTAATACAAAGTTAATACAACGTTGTGTGCCTGCTGGGTCAATAGATCTTTTTTATTTATCTCTTGACAAAATCAATCCTTTTTTAATCTACTTTTGAACAATATTATTTTAATAACATAGTTATAAACATATTATAGCAGATTGATAGGTGAATACAGGTAGTATGTCTCTGGAAATACTGCTCTCAATTTGTCTCAAGTATAATTATTGTCATAAAGGCCTATTTTGGTATTTATCTTAAAAACAACACGTTGTATATTGTCTGTCTGATTTTTAACTAGCTCTATTGTCAATTAAAAGGTCTCAAAGCATCTTTATAAAGACCAGACTTTTTATGTGTAAACCATATGGGTCAGCAAACTTGGACAATATACTCTGTAATTGTGCACAATTCATCAGTAAAATTCTTTTGCAACATTAGTTAAATCAAAAATAGTACCTTTCGCAACATTAGTTAAATCGATGCAATTTTTTTCACACAATGATTTTGTATAAAACTCATGATCATTTTCTTTTTTGTTTATTTTCTTTTATTATTTTGGTTTCACTGATATAAAAATGATCCAAATTGACAGTTGTTATAATTTTTGCATTAGATATTTTTCTTACAACTTTAGCTTTCTTTTTCTTATCTAATCGGCCTCTCTGCTAGTTTCTAAATGACATTATTAGTGAAAAAGCTTTTTCATCTTTTAATTATTCTTTTTCTAAAACAGGAACCTTAAATTTTAAAAAGAATTTAATGATTGAGAGAAAGTTTTTAAATTATTAACTAGCATAAAACTAAAATATAATAACTTATACACACACACACACACACACAAAAAAAAACTTGTTTGTTGCTTTCTTCACAGAGACAAACATAGTGCTTGTTAAAACAACCCTTGCTACAAACATTTCTAAAGGGTATTATATAATAAAATTTGATGCGATAATTAAGGAATTAAAACTTAAAAAAAACTGCTTTAAAAGTTGCTGTCACTTTAGTGAAATTTTTTTTTGATCATACTTGTTTATAAATGTTACAGATTTTTTAAAGCGTATTATTGACTTCAAACCTGTCATCAACATTTAAAAAAAAATCTGCACGCTGATAAAATAACTTTAAAAGGTTTTTTCCAAATAAGAAACACTAACTTTATGTTTTGAAACTTCAGATTTCCTTTTGAAATGTTCTGTTTATTATGCTTCTTAGAGGTTTCTCTTTTTTAAATGGAAGATTTGGATTTACGTTTTGCCAAAGTTTTATTATTTCTTTACTAACCTTTAAAACGATGTCAGTTTTCTCAGTATATTTCTTTTTCAATCTTTTATTCAAATAATTCTTTTTCAATCTTATAAGCATATTGAATTATCTGTTTATGTCGGGAAGTCACTAAACGGTAGTTTACATGGTTGTCCAGCATATTTTCCACTTTGATGTCTAGTTACAATGCCATATGTACCTTTTTTGGTGGTCGCCCAGATTCACAATTTGCATTCATTTCTAACACTTAAATAAAGTCTGAAAGCAGGTATTTAATAAATATCATATAAAAATCTCGATATTTTCATCCACGTTAGATTTAAAAAATACTGTATATAATTATAGTTTTCAATACAATATATTAAAACATTGCAAAACTCTTTTACAAAAACAAATCATTAAAAAACGGAAACACATTTAAAAGTGACACTTTTGTTGTTAAATTTGTGACGCGAAATAAGTTTTATGTGTCGTTCTTTACTATTTCGCTATATTCAACACATGAAACACTCAAGTTTGAATTAATAGCACTAAAGCATTAGCAGTTAAATCCCCTTGTCAAATAACTCTTATTAGTAGTTAGGTTGAAAGCTCTCAAAATCCATTAAAAAACATTATAT